CCTTGCTTGTCAAACCCTTCCCATGTACCTCTCCCACCACAAAATTTCCATCCGTTCGGGATCCTTTCATTTTTGATGCCCATACAGCTTGATTGTGCAGAATGGCCAATTCATCATTCCTGTTTATCTCCTGAGAAAGGAATTTACAGTTAAATTAGGATTAGAATCAGCACTGATGCAGATGTTTAGCTTTCTGGAGGCTGTTAATCTGAATTAGTGAAAAGTCTGATTTATAAAATAGCCCTACAGAAATGCAGCCTTAATCCTCTGAGGCTCACACAAGAGCTCTGTGACTGATAAAGTGTTGCCAAGAGCAGAACACTGCAGAACTGCCTTAAGGAGCAGACTGGATTGTGCAGACAAGTCCCCACATGCTTCCTCTGGGGTCCTAAAACATCCCCCTCACAATCCTTTATACAGTGTACTTTCATAAGGATACGAATCTTTGAGCTGGAAAATATTTTAAAGATCATCCAAACCCACTTGGGACCCACGATAGGAATATATCTACCATATTCTCTGTTGCTGGCTACCTGGTCAACTAAAAGCATTGGCTCACTGGCCTCAAAGCCTTGGCTTCCTTCTCGGGCCATTCCTATGCATTTTTTGAGAGAGGGCACAGGAGGGAGGGGTAGGGGGGAGGGAGACAGAGAATCTTAAGCAGTCCCCATGCCCACCACAGAGCCCATGTGGGGCTTGATCTCACCACTCTGAGATCATGACCTGAGCTGGAGTCAAGAGTCAGACGCCTAACTAAGTAAGCCACCGAGGCACCCCAGCTGTTGATTTTTAAGTCTTTCCTGATGTTGAGGTGAGATCTTTCCAACTAAATCTCTAGCTCGTTGTACCAGTTTCACCTTGGGAGGCCCTCACAACAAGCCACCCCCTTTCACACAGGACAGACTTTCTGGGTTTTTGAAGACTGTCACCATTTGAACCTATTCCTCCCTGCCCCAGAATCTTCTCCAGGCAAAGTCATTCCAGTTCCTTCATTCAGCTTTCCAACTCTCTATCTTCTGGTACAAACTGAACCTCTTTATTGCAGAAGAGGCCCAGTCAGTGTAAGCATAGAGAGACTGTCATGTCTAGACACTAAGTTACCTGGACTACCTCTCAAAACCCACCTTTCTCCCTGGTATGCTCAAGCCTTCCACAGCAGGGCCAACCCTGCCTGGACAAGGCATTGGAAATCCCTCCCAAACTTCTCTCCCACTGACCTGCTCTTTGATCCCCTTCCCTAGCCCTGGATTTCCCCTGCTAAGATCTTTGACTTTACTAAGCCAGCTCCTTTGCCCTCAGTCTGACCCCTGACCATGAGTACCTACTAATTGGGGTTGGGGTTAAAATGAGGTTTCACTACTCACTGAAGATGGCTCATGCTGAGGAACACAATATCGGAATTGGATCTCTGAAAAGGCTGAGCCACTGACTTCGAAGTTGGTATAAATGTGGGTCCTGTGAGAAGTTTTATTGCATTGGGGTGAAGTCATAGAGTACCACCGTAATATTTACAGACTATGGATAGATGGTTTAGTATGATGAATGGTAATGATTTTTAATATAACACATTATCTTTGTTGTCACCACTAGCATTCTTTTAAAAAAACAGATGACTAAAATATAAGAGGAAATGGTGCATGGACAGTAATTCTAATACAGTTTGGTGAATGAAGAATGTATTAAATGCACATCACTATCTCATCTAGGCAAAACCAAGTATTGCATGATCTAGCTTCTCTCATAGCCACTTTAATATATATGCAGAAAATAAATTGGCAATGTATGAAAATAAATGTAGCAGAAGGGGTGATTTAACTAGCTGAACAGCTAATGGGTCTCAGTGAAAATCTGTGAGTGAAATACTCTGATGATTTACCCACTCGAAAGTTCCACCGTGGATTCTAGGCAAGAATGTGGTCCTTGGCCAGTCATTCTCATATTGATGTCTGCATTGCTGGGTGCAAGGTGGGCCCAGAGGAAGTGAGGATCCAACAGGCTCAAATATGTGGCTTAATATCTTAATATCTTAATAGCCAGAATCTCCAGCAAGCCTGGGAAGAGCAGATGGATAATAGAGGCAGAGGGAGGTACTGGGGAGAGCAATTTTGCTTCCATTTTAAACAACTCTTATTCCCTCCCTGTTTCAACTGCCCAGAGAAAGCAGTTCTTTCTCATTAAGGTGCTCAAGTCCTTCACCCCCAGCTGTAATCCTCTTTATACCCTCTCTGAATTCAAGCCCACCTTCCCTCTCATCCCCAAGCATCCATGTTCATTGGGGTGGGTATGAAAACCTGGTGAGCCTCTTCCTGTTCTTTCTACACTAGTCTCCCTCAAGGGGACATTGTCCATACTGACTCATCGAGGGGTCCTTCCTAAGAACACAATAGATAAAGTTGTAAGAAGTCTTAGGGAAAATAATCACAGGTCTCATTCTATTGAGTCTCAGTCAAGGTCACTCTGAGGTTTAAAAGAGTCTTTATTTCATATCCATATCTATCTATATTTACTTGTACATATAGTTATAGTCCACTTTTCATATATGGTTTCTGCCCACATCCACGATCCCTTAATCACAATTATGAAATTAAAAGAGTCCTGAGAGCTGTCATCTTCCTGAACTTTGAGACAAACTCATTTCATGACAGAACCCGACCTCTTACTGTTAATGTTATTGTAACGATATTAGTGAGTTTTATTAAGGGATACTGCATCAAAAACTAATGATGTATTTTATGGTGACTGACATAACACAATTAAAAAAGGGATCCTTCCCCAGATCCCACTTGAGCTATTATACATATAACATGGTATATTCACATTGTTAAAATTAAAAAATCTGAACATCAGAATTCTTTTCCCCTTCAGAAGGCTTTGGATAAGGAACACCTGTGTACAAACACACACATATGCAAGTTTCCATCTATGTCCGTGAAACTTTATTGTGGTGGAGCTGATGAATAACTTTATGTGTTTCACCTCAGTGCATTCATTTTTAGCGAAATAATCCCTGGGATTGTTTTGCTTCTTACAGCAATGGCTCAAAAATAATCCAGTAAATGGAAACTCTATCCAGAAATATTCCAAAGTCAATCTAGACTTGAGTTTGGTAATATTGGGGTAAGTGGAGTCTTAAGAGAAACCAGACATGAAGGCACAGATATGAAAGAAAACTAGAAAACCACCTGATTGTATCTCAGCCCAGCAGCCCCTCGGCTCAGGGCTGCGGCTGCTCCGTGCTGGACCTGAAACATTACTTGGGAGGAACTGAGGCCAAGATAGCATAATGTCTGGACTGGTCTCATTAAATCTGTTCCCTCTGTCTTTATTTAGTAACCAGAGACAGAAACAATTGATTAGATTTAGAGGGTACTTTGCATAAATGTGGAGTCTTTACTGCCATAAAGGAGAGACTTGCAAGAGAAAGAAGGGAAGGAGAATGCTGGGTCGGAGGACACTGCGCCCCCCACCCCCTTTCGGGGACACACAAGCACGCAGGCGCGTGTGCGTGCATTTTCCCAGGGGATACAGTCCCCTATTTCCTCTGCTTCCCCTAATCTCTTGGTGTATTTGGCAGAGAAATGTACTTTCGGATAGCATTTACTTAGCAGATAGCATTTTAAAATGAGCTTTGCTTTATGAAAGAAAATACCTAACTGGGAGATTAAAAAGGCAGCCTTTAGGGAGGTAAGGCACATGGAGTGAAAAGGCTCTCTGCATTGGACAGGTGGGGGCAGGCAAGGAATAGTGCTCTGTGCCTCCAGAATCTTGGGGAGAGGGGTCCTTGGGGTCCCTCTCACTCCAGTTTGAAAGTGGGACCACAGGATGAGGTGCCCCTGAGATGAGGACTGCACTCTCCTGACTGAGTTGAAGGTGGGAGAGAGCCTAGCTGGGAGCTGGGAGCATGAGCAGCAGTGAGCCCAGCAGATGGGGGTGGGGGGCAGCCACCGGCAGAGCAGCAATACTCACCACCAGTGAACTTACTTCCAAGGAGGAGATCGGGCTGCTGAGACAGGAGTGGGGGCGAGGAGAGTCCTCCCCACCCCCTGAGGCTGGAACCACACTTCTCACAGTGAGCCTGAGGACGGGTTGAGGATATCACCCACCATGGCAAGAGACGGTGCAGGCTGATCTGTTATGGGCACGGGGAGCAAACGATTAGTAAGGAAGACTATTGATTATCAATGAAGGCAGAGTGGCAAATGTTGTCAATTTCCAAATACTTTGCTTGGTCAGCTTTACAGATTTGAAATCAATCATTAAACTTGCTTGGTGCCTTATGAACATATCTCCTTCTAAGAGTTTTACAAAGAGTTGATAAAAATTAAGGTGGAGGAGGCCAAGAAATGTGACTCTGGCCCCCTCAGTGCTAGGTACTGGGCACCAGCAGTGAAAATGTTTTTCATAATCCCTGCCCTTGGAGTTCCCATCTCACTTCTCCAACTAGTGGGAGGCAGAGGCCAGCCTCTCTCCCTGTGGACCTTAGTTTCCCCCGATTAAAATGGGTTTTGAATTCACCCCTCCTTTGTGAGAGGACTATACCATGTGTATAGCTGAGACCATAGCCACGTGACAAAACTCTGGGTTTCTGAACAAGATGGCCATAGGAAATGAAAACTTATCTCAACCCAAAAAGCATGGGATCGTTAAGAATCTATGGCTATGTGTCAGTCGGTAGCATCTGTCTCTGGGTCCAGAAGGCATGCATCCTTGCCTTAAAGAGTTTATGTGGAATGCGGGAGGCTAGGCTTTTCTGAGAGGGAAGATAATGTCATGGAACCCAAGGAACTTGGCCACATTCAGGCCTTGTTCTAATGAAACGTTTGACCTTCAGCCACTCACCAGGCCTCCTGAGCCTCATATTTCCCATCTATAGAATAGGACGGTGTACTCCAGTCCACCCACAACTGACAGATCACAGGCCCTGATGCTGTGCGAGGGCAGGCCCTTGGCCTGATGATGGGAGACAAGCAAGACAATGAATGATGTCATTTTTCTTTCAGCCCACTCTTGGCCACACCTCAGCCGCCACCCGCAGTGCCAGCCAGTGGGGGATCCGGCAGCTCCAGTGACTCCGAGAGCAGCTCTGAGTCAGACTCAGACACCGAGAGCAGCACCACTGACAGTGAATCCAATGAGGCCCCTCGTGCAGCCACTCCCGAGGTGAGGGGTGTGGGGGCTACGAGCGTGGTTTGCCTCTCACCTGTCACCGGGTTGCGTGGCACTCCCAGTGAACGTGCATGCACGCATGCATGCACGCACACACACACACATACACCCAACACAATAAATACTTCAGTGAAGTACTTGGGTATCTGAAAGCATTTTTTTACCTCTAAATCATATAAGTGCACAGACCCTAAAAGATGGACATTCCTTGCTATATGACTCACTTAGCTCCTCCGAGCCCCCAGCTTCTCATGTGTAAATCTGGAAGAGTCATAACCAGGTTTGCAACTCCTCTTTTGAGAGAACCAGTCAACCAGACCTACTTCTGGCCCCAGGGATACCACCCCTGACTCCAGGTTAAAGTGATGAGTTGCCACTTGGCAAGGAAGACCCAAGAAATGGGATGGATTTTTGAAAATTTTGGTTGCATTCTCCAAATGTGTTTGATGATAATTCATGAAAATATTGAACACGGCTCCCTAAAATACCCAAATTACACTTTTGAAATAAAAAACAATGAGCTCTTCCCCTCCCGTCCTTGCTGAGTCCAGAATGACCCTTCAGTGGTCCCAAGCCTGTGCCCCTTACAGCAGGCAGATCCACTCCAGGGCTCCATGCACACTTGTTCATTATCATCAGAAAGAAATATTGGAGAATGCAGTAGTGCCAAACCCACCATTAGTCATAGCCAGCACTGTTTGAACATGGGCCCTGGGCTGAGAAGCTCTTGACCTTCACTTTTTTGTGTTATCCTCATAACTCTTCTCTGGGGTCCTTGCTGTTACTATTCCCATTTTACGGATTAAAGAATAAGGTTCTGAGAGGTTAAGAGAGAACTTTCCCCAACCCTTGTCTGCCATTGCCCTGTGTGCAGTGGACTCACAGCCACTCAAGTGTTTTTAATTCTGTCACCCTTTATTGGCTGGCACCATTAAGCCTCAGCTGATTGGCTTTCAAAAGAAGAGCAGTTCTAATAAAAATTATGGCTCTTTTAGTTCAACAGACAGAATTCAGAGTTGGGAATCAAGCACTGAATTGTACGCATCATTTCCGTGGCTTAACAGCAGACACTAATGTCTGCATGCATGTCCCCATCAACTGGTTATTGCCCATACACTGGGAAAGTGTGGTGGTTTTGGGGAAGTCAAATCATGTCATCCTTCAGTAAAAATAGAAAAGGCTTGTCCTTTTTTGCAGTGAATTACAGCACCATAGAGAAGGCACTGGGACTTTTGCGAATAGAAAATCTTTCTTGTTGAATTACACTTGAGGCACATTCACATTGCTTTTCAGGACCCATGATCATTACTCTGCCTCCTGGTGAGAGGATGAGCAATGAGTCCCACCAAAGGATTTTGGGAACAGGTTTCCCAGCCAGACCTCCGTGCCCACCCTCTGGGAAAACTCTCTGTGAATAATTCTTTCCTTCCTGGCCGGAGTGGAGACTGCTTTCAGAAGAGGGGTGGAAGCTTGTTGCAATAAGTAGATCGAGGCTGCTTTGTGGAGTATTTGTCTCTCTGGGTAATTTGATGAATTTAGATTCCATGTGTGTCTTTAAATGTGTGAATGGGCACTTAACATCCACAGCTTTTATCAACATTCAGTGTAGTAAGGGTCCTTCTGGATTCTTCCAAGATGTGAGATTCATTCTTGCTGTTGTTTCTCACCTGCAGCCTGAGCCGCCCTCCACCAACAAGTGGCAGTTGGATAAATGGCTTAACAAAGTGACATCCCAGAACAAGTCGTTTATTTGTGGCCAAAATGAAACACCCATGGAGACAGTGTCTGTGCCTCCTCCTATCATCCAGCCAATGGAAGTCCAGGTCAAAGTGAAAACAACCCCCAGCCAGATCCTGGGTGAACCCAAAGAGAGGCCTCTCCTCAGTCTTATTAGGGAGAAAGTCCGCCCACGGCCGACCCAGAAAACTCCAGAAACCAAGGCTTTGAAGCATAAGTTGTCGACAACTATTGAGACAGCCTCGCAAAGGACAATTGGAAAAAAACAGCCCAAAAAAGTCGAGAAGAACACCAGCATTGACGAGTTTACCTGGCCCAAACCAAATATTACCAGCAGCACCCCCAAAGAGAAGGAAAGCATGGAGCTTCCTGACCCACCAAGAGGCCGCAACAAAGTCACTGCCCACAAACCAGTCCCTAGGAAGGAACTGAGGCCAAACGTTTCCCTGGCTGCCGAGAAAAAGAAGTACAGAGGGCCTGGCAAGATTGTGCCCAAGTCCCGGGAATTCATAGAAACGGATTCGTCCACGTCCGATTCCAGCACCGATCAGGAAGAGACCTTGCAGATCAAGGTCCTGCCTCCTTGCATTGCTCCGGGAGGCAATACTGCCAAATCCAAGGAAGCCTGTGGCGCCAGCTTGACCCTCAGCTCCTTGGTCAGCAACAGTAGCAACAACAGCCTAACCACCGGTAGTGAAGAGCCTGCATTTTCACCCACCCCTGCCATGCAAACCGAGCTGTCCCCACTACGAGATCACGAGAACCTGAAAAATCTGTGGGTGAAGATTGACCTTGACCTGCTGTCTAGAGTACCTGGCCACCACTCACTGCAAGCGACACCAGCCAAGCCAGACCCCAAGGAGCCTGCGTCCAAGCCCAAGCGCCAGAGCACCGCTGCAGCCAGTGAAAAACCCATCCTGAAGGGCAAGCGTAAACACAAGGTAGGCTGTCCTCCCATCCCCCATGGTGTGCCGAGGGATCGTGAGCAGCAGCCCTGTGTTGGCGAACTTGATATTAAGCCTCATGTTCAAAGAGGCTAACAGCCATGGAGTGCAGTCTCTGAAGGGCAATGATGCTTTCCATGGGAAATGAGGGATTCAATGGGACCTAGGAGGAAGTATTAGGAATGGTCAGCATTGGGCAGCCAATATGAAGAGAATCCAAAATGGCACATGGGAGATTATGATGGGAAGGAAAGAAGGCTGTGGAGACAGTTGCCTTCCCCAGGTACCCAGTCCCTAGCATTGGCTCCTTAAGCTGCCCTGGCTTTCATAGACTCACAGGGTCACCCCCACAGTCCCCACCCTGGCAGCCGCAGGGCACCCAGGTGATCCCAAGCATTCAACATGCCGCCCCTGGACCTTGTTAATCTCTCCAGACACACATCAGCATCCCCACAACCTAGGTACACGTTGATGCTCCCTGCTCGTAGCAGACACACGGTCTGCCCAGACTGCTGCGTCCCAGAGCTGTGTGGTTGGCCTGACTCATGGAAACCTCACCTGCAAGAGGTTAGGACTGAATTCCAGGGCTGCAAACTTTCGCCAGGAGGGCAACTCTCAATCTCGGCCTCCTGAGTTCGAGCTCTGGCCCTCACTCTTCACCCATCTTCGGGATGACAGGCGTAACTTCAGAACCGGCCAATGCAAAGGCACGTCTTACACATGGTTTATTGCTTGGCATGTTATTGGTTGTCTAAGTGACCTTTATATGTGACACCTGAGCCCCATGCTGTTTGCACAGCCTCGTGCTCTATTGGCGTTGCAGTGTTAGTGTCTCTGCTACTCATTGGTGGGGGCATTGTTGATGGAAAAAGAGTCTGAGAACGATAAGTTCTCTTTACTTTCGGTCAGAGATTCCTGGGCCGCCCAGTCTTTAATCAGAGGTTCACAGTGCAGCTCAGCTTGCTCAAATACCAGCTTCTTGGCTGAGTGTTTTCTGTCTGAGCAAAGGTGTGCATTTAACTCCCTGAGCAAAACTAGAAGTTAAAACAGAAGCAAACTGTCTACCTTGCTCATGGTTTTTCAGTGTCGGCATGTGCCATGTATTTCAAGTTCTGACTTTTTCTTCCCATTAAAGCCAACAGAGATCGCAGAGAAAATCCCTGAGAAGAAGCAACGCCTGGACGAGGCCCCCGCTATCTGCCTGCTGCCTCCTTGCATCTCACCAGCGCCACCCCACAAACCTCCGCACACTAAAGAGTGAGTTTGCCCTGTCTTGGTAGGACACCTCGATTGTTTGGGCCCCTCAGAAATCTCAAAGGAAGCCTTTTGAGGGTGGGGTGGGGTGGTGAGGGTCCTCTTTCAGAGGAATGGCAAGTAAGGAAACAGCCAGTCCTGACAGCTGGTCTATCAAGGGTGGGATGAAAGCTGGAATGCAGACTGCCAAATCTTGCATATTCCGTGAGCTCTATAGCGATCTTTCTTCAGTCCAGCTCATGCGGGGACCAAACTCGGCCAAAGTGACCTTTCAGCCCGAAGGGAAGAATAAAAGAAGTGAAGGAATTAAAATAAGAGAGCACCCAGATCGCCTGCTTCTGGGCCACTTCCTGTTTTGATGGCGATGAAAGCAGCCTTTGCACAATGACCCAACTCCTGCTTCCTCTTTGGAGCCATTCTGTGACCTAAAGACACAGCTTGAGGGCTAGTAGGTCCATCCTGACATCCTGAGAGGCCAGGGGAGGGACATGTTTGAGGATGCCACAGAGAGGAGACATCTGGGAGCTGCCCCCGCCTCCCCGGGGCCATGGTGTGTCAGGGAAAGCTGGCTGGGGATGCATCCATTAGTGCCAGAGTCAGGCGGGAGGCCTCCCTCTCCTCTTCACTCAGATGGCCCCAGCCTTCCCTGGAGAAGTCCTGAGATCTGTTGCTACCAAGCATTGTGTCCAAGTTCTTGCATCTTAGAAGTACCACTTAACTAACAGTCATGTTAGCTACTGGAACCATTCCGTCTGGATAATTATTGCCATAAATTCATTCAACATTAGAGATTACTTCCATCAAAGACCAGTTTGGGAGCCTATTAGCAGCCCAGAACAGAGAGGCAATCTGGCTAACTGCTGCTAACAATTGATTTCACAGATTACTGTTTAACATCAGTTATATGGTATCAGTCTGCCACAGATAAGATGTCAGAAATAAGTTTTCAGCTTGTGGTTGTTGAGATCCATATATTGTTTTGAGATGAAAGGTAGGAAAAGACCAATTACCTCTCTATCCACTTGGTATAATAAGGAGATTGGGGCCCCAAGCTTCTCCTCTCCCTGAGAATCTGTGGCTCTTCATACAGTGCATCTGGTATAACTTTGCTCTGAGACATCCCTTCCCATACTTGGAGTTCTCAGACCCAGTGACCCTTCCAGTGGGGCAAGCTGACCTCTTCACTCCCAAGTGAGCCAGCCCTGTGGGGAAGCAAGCTCCTTATCTGGGGATCAAGCATGGTCCTTCCATGGCCCTCCTCCTTCCCTGGAAGACAGACAGAAATGGTATGGCTGTTGTGGCCATAGCTCCCCAGTTTCCAGGCTTCGACCCGTTCAACAACCCAAAGACACAAAGAAAGGGCAGGAGGTGTTGCCACAACCATTAGTCTCTGACACTAGTCTCTCTAAGCAGCCCAGTGACCCTCCACTTCTCCCATCTCATGGAAGAGATACAACCAAGTATTAAGTAAATGTCTAGTAATTTGAGTTTGTTCTTCAGAAAATGGTGTTGCTAACTCATGGTCTTTATAGTCTTTCTGCTTTTGTGGTCATTAGAAAAGCGGTGTTTACCTAGTAGCATTCATCATTCAGGAAGAGCCTGGACCAGATTCTTAGGCTCATCAAACAAACCCAGATCTGTGGAAAAAATCTCCAGAGCTGACAGAGAGAATGAAGCCAGGACTGGCCTCTCAGAGCTCTTCTCCCGGGAACCCCCTCCTCAAGTTCCATCTGCTCCTTTGTGCCTTGTTGACCTTCCAAACCAAATTCTTAGAAATCTGTAAACATTCACTTTTCTAAATGAATGTCTAAACCCAGCAAAGAATGCCACACCAGACTATGACAGCCACAGTTCTCCGTCATCTAACAGGAGGGCCCTGCTGAGTCCCACCCCTGCCCCCCAACACACACACACACTTCAAGCTCCTTGGGAGCTTGAAGCATCAGCAGGGCCTCTGAAGCACTGAGTGGTGGTAGTGACACACTTATCTTGTCCACTGTCCCCCTCTGACCTACAAGAGGTGCCCAAGTGGCAAAACCTGTTCTTGTAATAAGAAGCCATAATGGTGATAGAGTGATTTCTAGAAAATGCTCCCTGGCTATCCTTCACCAGGGAAGTTATTGAAGGCCCCATGGTTCCAGCTCACTACCAAACAGATGGAAAAGGGACCAGGGGACCGGTGCCCACTGCATAGAATGTGCTGGAGTGTGTGTGGTGTTCTATGTACGGTGACAGATGGGAAGGCCAAGCACGACTGTAGTGGTCACTGGCAAATCAGATGCAGCTCAAGTAGTGGAGGAGTGGCTGTAGCTAATGAACCACTCACCTCCTATAGATGCTCCAGCAATGCTTGACATCTCTCTGATGTCCACTGCTTCTGTAATGATCATACTTAATGCGAGCTGATGGCCACAGAGCTTCCTCGTGGACATGGGCCCTAATTCAACAGTTTGCCATCCTTTTTATTGGGCATCACAGCTATCTTAAAATGGTTCTACATGTCAAAGCACTTTTTAAATTCCATTGGCAAATATTTTAATTAATCTTAACTAATTAATGAAATGGCAAAAACAGTTACTGTTTTTAAATATTTTGCTGCTTCACAAAACTTGACATAGGGCCACATTTATGAAACAAAAGTTGGAGAAGACGGCAAATGCTATTATAGTTGGCAAACTTGGGCAACACAGTGGAAGGGGAACAAGGAGACTGCATTGATTTCTACCATCTCAGGGAAATCCACTTGAATGCTTGTTCATCTTTGATTTGTTGCCTTGACATATTGTAAATCTATATTGCTAGACACTGACTGAAATTGACCAAGAGGAAAACATAAATTCTTGTTGACTTAATTTGCTATTGAAAATTGTATCAATAATCATGGAAAGTAAATGGCTGCATAGTGCCATATTAGTTGTCTAAGAAAAGATTAAAATTCAAGTAATCTTCATTGATTAGGCTAAGACAGTAACTAAAATGAAAATCCATGACCCAATTACCATGTTAAGCAGCTAGCATAAGGTTTTAGTTGTTCTGTTTTATTTGAAGTCTGTCTCTTTGATGGTGCCCATTTAATGGGCAGATAAATCAGTCTGAAAGCATGGGAGTACTTCTAGGACTACAGATGTCTTATGGCGATATGACAAAATAGTTTCCAAATGGGTTCCACAAAGGGAAGCACATCAGTACTCCAGTATAACAGTGTAAGGTCAGGGGCTTCTTGTGCCTTGGTATGGGCCTAGAATATGTTGGACATATGGCTCTCAGTGTGTCACAAAAGTATTTAGTGTGTTATTGATAGCTAAGTAATGTACAAGCATAATATTTCTTAAGAAAATATCCCCCTACTGTTTATTGTTCCATTTATTGTGTGATTATGCAGTTAAGTCCTAGGGCAAAATAAGTAGGAACCATCCTAAAATGTGATGGGATTAAAGTCTGCATTGGATTTTCCATAAAAAATCTAATTGAGAGGAATCTTAAAAGGTTACAAATATCATACTGTAGCACCCTCCATTAGACATTACATTTATCATGGAGTTCTGCTTCAGAGACATGTGTTTATTCTTAGATACATCTATTTGCATTTATTTATAGCTAGAGCTCTCTATAGATATCTATGTCTACATGCATTTTTGTATATACTCTTCTTCACCATAGTTAAAGGACGATCAACTAAAATCATACTTAAATTGAAAGTATCCACATCATGGGAAAAATCACAGAAGAGAGACAAAACTTTGTGACATTCTATGCTTTTTGTTTACACAGAAACAGTTCATCCAGGAGAGCAAATAGAAGGAAAGAAGAAAAGCTGTTTCCTCCTCCACTTTCCCCACTGCCAGAGGACCCTCCACGCCGCAGAAACATCAGTGGCAGCAATGGCCCCTTTGGTCAAGACAAGAACATCCCTATGATCGGACAGATCACCTCTACCAAACCGAAGAGAAGTGAAGGCAAATTCTGTGCTACTTTCAAAGGGATATCCGTAAATGTAAGCATCTCAGAAGAAGTATTATAATCATCAGGTACAAACAGGTTGACCCAGCTTGTCTAACCAGATGTGACCCCCGAGGGAATGGGAGGAAGAGGCAGAGAGAACAGTGTACAGAAATATGCAAACGCTCCATTATTTCAAATCTCAATTGTTCTAATGTAGGATGAATTTTTCATTCCAGTCTTACTTCTCCCAACAAATTATTATGCAGAGACTCGGGGCTTTGGACATCCTTTGGTCTAATGCTTTCATATCTTGGCAGTGGAGACACACAAGGTACTGATCGGGCACATGGCGTCAGCACTGATCATTTAGTGAATGAAAGAACCAGTGGATGAGGTGGGATTGCCCAAGGTCACTGGACTGGGGCTGGAACTCACAGTTGCGTCTTCGCAGGACCCAGTGCAGCAGGTGTGAATTGTGTTTAAAATAGTGACCCAAAAGGATGGAATTTAATAGGTGAATCTGTTGGTAAAAATTGCACAGCTGTGGTTCTAAGCTCGACTAAAGGATTATCCAGCCCTTTGGATTTTCAGCACCGCTGCTCTGTTAGTATAGAAAATTGAGACTTTGCATCATTTTTCACATCTTTGCAGTCTTTCTGTCTGTCTCGGGTATAGGTACCTAAAGCACAGAAGCCACAAGCAAAGTGTCACCGGTGAATATTAATGACAAATGCATCTGCTTTTCCATGTAAATGTATGTATGTGCAGATGTGGCATCTGTATGCATCTAGTCTCCTTTAAGTGTAATGTAAAAAAGCAAATATGGGAAAATCAATGAGCTTTCAAATGTCTTGATGCCAGCCTGGTGAACCCTGGACCGAACATGCCCATTTACCACTCCATGAAAAGCCAAAAGGCCTCTGAGCTTGAAGGACTCCAAGGTAGAGTCCTCCATCATCTGAGATGACTGGCATGGCACGCATATCTAGGCCAATTTCATCGCTGCTATGGAGCAATTGGTCTATTGTAAAATAGTCATTTTCCATATGAAATTGTGTGTGTGTGCATGCATGCGCCCACACAATATTTGCATTCACATTTAAAAATGCTGACCTCGTTAGAAATTAAACCATCTACTCTAAACAGTAATTATGCTATCAATCCCATTTTTCATACTGAATGTAATTAATATGGTAAACTCCAACTGGTGCTCTTTTCTCTTGCAAGCTTTAGGAGGACATACGCCAGACCTAGGCAATTCTCTTCATACAATGCCTGGTATATTGGCACAAAGAATTAGGTGCCTAATACAGTTGTGATTGTGACAATGGTAATGCTTACAAGCATCAGCAAAGTCATATCTATAAGAACTAAAAGCTACTAGGGAAACCCGATAAATATGGTTCCGTCAGCACCTAGAAGTGGATTGCCCTCCTTAAGGAATTCATTGGAGTCTCCCATGAGAGGCTCCCATGACTGACTACCCATTGCCCCTTCCTTTCATAAATGACTTGAAACCTGGAAGACAAATACATTTTTGCCTTAGCCTGGAGGTTAGGAGGCTTGGTGCATGGTGTTAAAACTTCAACAGGTTTTCTATGGCCTGGGACAAATTACAAAACCACCCTGAGTCCATAAAATGAGTGGATTGGATTAGATGATCTGTAAGGCTTCTTCCAGCTCCCAAAGGATTTTCAATCCTGTGCTCTCAGAGTCTTCTGTATTCCACTTTGGCGTGAAGTCTCGTTTATTGATTCAATAGATGGCTGAGCACGGATGGAGAACACATTTATGTAACTTGCATGATCATGACTGAACGCAGCCATTTCAAGTCATCTGTGCCAGGACTGACATCCTATGCACAGTGGATGCAGTGCTTTGGGGTCCTTGTCACATAGCTTGATCATAGAGACAAGTGGGACCATCTTGGGTTGACTCCACTGCTTGGTCCAGGCCATCTGGCTTTGGCAGTGCAAACCTGGAGTTTTAGAAGGCTTCGATGTTTTTCTGTGTTTGGGTTGAATAAAATCCATGATGATTTGTCAAGTATTTGCTCCCTATCCATCCCAACAATTGTTACATGTTACCACATTTCTTTCAGTGAGCTCTTGGTTGTAAGTTTTGATAATCAGAAGATTCAGGGTCGAGTGGAAAAGTTAGACTTGCATGGACATAAGGAATGTTCACATTTGGCTTCTATTTTGCAACTGACCCTCTTGACTCAGGCAGGTATGCGTGCACGCAGTCAGCAAATTATTGGGAGCACGAGGCTGTGGGGCGGGGGGATGGGGTGGGGTAGCGATGTCAGAAATCAGAGATGGCGCCAGTGTTCAGAAAGCTCTCAGTGTGAGGTAAACAATGAGACACATGCTCAGAGAACTTCAATATAAAATGCCTGGTGGGTGGTGTCATAGAGAGGGATTAAGACAGACTTCAGTTCTCTGAAGGGGCAAGGAAGATTAAAGCCCCTCTGGCTGGAGACATAGGTGGTTTTCCTGGAGGAGAAGGCATTTGTTGAGCTGGGTCTTAAAAGGTGAGGACAGTTTAGAAATGAAGGGATGTGGTTAAACAAAATGTGATCTGTACATACGATGAAATATTCTTCAGCCTTAAAAGGGAAGGACATTCTGACATGTGCTATGACGTGGTTGAAGCTTGAGGACTTGACGCTGAGTGAAAGCCAGTTGTATGTATTTTACCACAACTTTTTCAAATTAAAATTTAGAGCAAATTTTCACCAGGTGAAAAAGGAAAAGTAACGAAGGGAAGGTTCTTTCAACTCTAAGACTGCACATGAACCAAAGCAGGAAATTGAAGAAGGCAGGTTGTGTCCAGTCTGGGGGAAGGTCTGTAGGAATGAGGAAGAGATCAAGAGGAAAGCAGAAGCCAGATTAGGGAGGACCTCACAGGCCAGCAAAGGAGTTTGCATTTGGATTCAAGGCAGGGAAATGCATGGAGCTTTGTGGAAGAAGGTCCGGCAGCAGATTGAAAATGGATTGGAAAAGCTGGCTCCGAGGTCAGTCGGGATGCTGATGGTCTCGGTCAGAAGCCACGAGGGCCCGCACTTGGAGGCTTCAGAGCAGGAAGGGACAAATTTGAGAAATGGTGGGGAGATGCAATGAATAGGACTCTATAATGGATTGGATAAGGGTAATGGAGAGGAAGATATTAAAGATGAAATAGAGCAGGGAAATTCACTTTTTTTTGAAGCTCTTTTCAAAAGAGTTTTAGGATCATTATCATTTTTTGAAATGGAAGAATTTACAGCACTTCAACATATAAAGCTGATTAAAGCAGAGCAGCTCAGATGGAAGCCAAGGTGGGGAGTATACTGGCTCCAATGCTCCTGGCCCGGGGATGACCACAGTGCCCTTACTGACATGGAGAAATCCAGCCTTGGTGATAAGGGAAGACCGTTGCTGCCATTAACAGAAAGAGGGAACTGGTTTGGTTATCAATTTGGTTTCAGGGCAATTTGATGGGCTAATGGCCATCTTGGTGATAATGACCCAGAGGTAATCACCGCACATCTGAAGCTTTAGAGAGAGGGTAAGATTGAGGTTTCCATTTGGCAGTGATCTAGATATTATCCAATCTATGCCAACACAAACGGGATTGGCAAATCCTGTCAAGGTCAGG